ACACTCTGATTTGTGGAGATCTGAACGCAAGAGTTGGGCATACAGTAATACCAGGAACAGTGGGTACATTTGGAGGAACGACTATGAATGGAAATGGAGCAGAACTGAGACAATTTGCTACATTTAATAATCTCAGTATATATATATATATATATATATATATATATATATATATAAGTTCACCTGGAGCGCAAGAGGATATAAATCTATTATAGATTACATAATAGCAAATGACAGGATCAAATCCCTGGTACAAGACGTTAGAGTATACACAGGCAGAGACGTTTACTCCGATCACCATTTAATAGTGTCGAATATAACTCTACTGGCCAAATGAAAAAAAAACAATAATCCCAAAATAAATATCATCAGCAATAAGCAAGAAGTTTTTAAAGCATATTTACTGCAAGAAAACAGCGTAAGAAATGTCTATCAGAAAAGATTTACTGAATACCTAGCAAAAGTAACAACTAGTGAAGATATTGATGAAGAATAGGAAAATATAAAAATTTGTATAGAGAAATCTGCAATGGAAGCACTAGGTAAAAAGAAAAAAGTCGTTAAAGGAAGGGGCTACGTTATTGGACAGATGAAATAAAAGAAGCCATAGAGGAAAAACAACAAGCATATTTAAATCATCTACAAAGGAATACGACTGAATCCAAAGAACATTATAATCATAAACGGAACTATGCCAAAATGTTTGCTAGACAAGCACATAAAGAAGTTTGGGACAAGTTCATTAGCGACATTGAATATGACATACACGGCGTCAAATGATGGCTTACAAGATCCTAAAACAACTAAACCAACAAACAAGGATACAGCGCGGTTAAACATTATACAAGAATAACAATGGATTCAACATTACAAGGAATGTAAGGGTGCAAGGGTGAGGAAGAAAGGTTTGATGAAACAAACATAGAAGAGAGTAATAAGGGAGTAGAAGATATAAAATACTCAATAGTAGATGATATATCGCTTGAAGAAATAAAATATGCGTTAAAAACAAAAAATCGCAAGGCAACGGGCACATGGCTTTCATTGATTTCGGAAAAGCTTTTGTGAGAGTGAATAGAAAGATTCTCTGGAATATTATGATTCGAAGGGGATATCCACAACACCTTGTTAATGCAATTCAATGCATTTATAAAAATACTTAGTCTTTTGCCAGCGCTGAGCAAACTGTTCTGTAAAATACTCAACGGGCGACTGAGTGAATGGGCGGAAAAGTACGGTAAAATATCAGATTGCAAGCAGGCTTTAGGAGAGGCTACGCGACAACCGACAATATATTTGTGTTAGATACCTAGTAAACAGGCGCTGGCGCCGCGTAAACGGGGCCACGTTATATTGCAGTTTTGTCAGATTTTCGAAAAGGCTTTTGACTCGTAATTAATAGGGATGCTTTATGGCGAATAACAAATTGAGCTAGGCGTCTCACGTAAAGCTTTAAACGTATTGCAGAGTATGTATAAGGAAGTAAATTTCTGCGTGAGTGCGGTGACGGAAGTAAACGGCAAAAAAATAAAATCGCATAGGAGGTAGACAGGGGTGTCCTCTTTCACCGCTGCTGTTTATCTTGTTTATAACCGATTTTATTGACGTTGGGTACAAGGAAGCGGAATACAGCGGCCCAGTAATTGATGGCTTGAAATTCCAGGGACTACTATATGCTGCTGAATTTAGTCTTATGGTTCGAGACGATTGAGGGCTTACAGAAGAGTTTAAATATTCTAGAACGGGTATAGTGAGACCATGGGGACTAAAAGTAAACCATTCAAAAAACGAAAAGTTGTTATGTCTTCACAAAAATGGGTTCATCTGGGGTAGGCAAGAGAAATGGTAACTACGCTAGGGAAGAAATTGACCGCGTCAAAACTTTCACATATCTGCGGTGCAAAATTTTCCATGAATGGGGGATGGAATAATCACATTACTGCGGCTCACAGCAAAGGAAGATTGCGGCTCACAAAGATCGTTTTGCCGCAGTGGGGCGCATGGGTTCCGGAATTGCCGGTAAAAGTATGCGATTAACAATGTTCCAAAAATGCGTGTTTCTCACCCAAGCTATGAACTATGGGGCAGAATTCTGGGAGTGATAGGAATAGATTCGACTAGAAAGTAATCGAAAAACAGATTATTTTCAAATTAATTCCTAGGAGTTTCTAGATGGCGCAGGCAAATGCCCGGAAAT